CTAAAGCAAAGCTTAAGTATATAACACCAACAAAGTCGCCCAGTCCGGCCTCGTTCATGTTCATCCGCGGCCAGACGCCGCAACACCATAACCCAGGGCCTCGGCAGGCCCTGCAGTCGCCATGCTCACGCCCAGTCCCGTAGCCTCGGCAGATCGTTGGCCGAGTCAGCCGCCGACCGCCCGACCACAGTAGGCCGGCGGTCCGGCCAGACCGGTTCAGACCGGTTAAGACCGGTTCGATCCAAATTTAATATTTAAATCCCAGTTCATGTTTTAGGTTTTATTTTCAGATAAATTCTGGATCCAGTCAAGTTCAGTAAATTCATGTCAGTTCAGTTCCGATTTTAGCCGGTTTTGATTATACCGGTTAAATCCAAATATCACGTTTAAGTCCAGTAGAGCATCTTAACATATTAAAAAGTAAATTTTATAGTCTGAGCATAGTATTTAGTAATTGTTTATATTATTTTTCAGTTTTATCAGGATACGACTATCAACACTACCTTTTTATTCAGACGGATCAGGTGGGGACTCAGACTGGGTATTACATTGATTATAATTATTCTACCATGTTTGAGGTATGTATTATCATGTCATGTATCTGCTCGGAATGGTCGCCGGTCCATTCTGGGTTCTAGTGGGCTTAGTCTGCACACTAGAGTGTGCACATGGTGTCCGGCATTTATGCTGGCAGATGTTCAGGTATCAGGCAGGTGATGATTATCTCACCATCAGTATCAGATCATGATTGTTCAGTACCGGTTTCAGTTCAGTTCAGTTATATATGCCAGGATCATGTTATTGTAATTATTTTCACTGTTTACTTTAGTATGAGTTCCTACGGAGCACAGTGGACTTTAGTGCTCACGCCCCACTTTTATCATGTTTTTTCATATCATGGAGTTGGGCAGGAGGTGTGAGATGACGACCAGTTCAGGATTATGCTTATAAAGTTTAAATTATACGGGAGCTATGCTTATAAAGTTTAAATTACGTTTTGTACAGTTTGAATTTAGCATACCAGTGCTGTTGCTATCTTCCGTAGACTTATTTTCACGATCGCAGCACTGTTATTATGTTTTGCCGCTAAAGTTTCCGCTGACTTTTCACTGTTTGTCATACTTAGCCTTTTTTACACTCAGCAGACTATGAGTCCGTTTTCTTAAAAACAGTCTGATTTAAAAGTAAGTCATGTATTATGGTAGCACTCCGAAACAGTATTTTGCAAACCAATCAGTACACATTTATAAAAGTCTGATTTTCATGTCAAGGCGGGGTGTTACAGTACACATTTAAAAAAGTCGAGGAAAATAAGGGTAAATAGGGGCAAGAACGAAAAATGTAAGCAACGTCTCCGGAATGACTGGTTTTCAAACACGACACCATTATCTGATGTGGATAACATATATTTATCCCCCTATCGTGTTTTGAAGCAAAATCGTACACGTTTAAAAAAGTCGAGGAAAATAAGGGTAAATAGGGGCAAGAACAAAAAATGTAAGAAACGTCTCCGGAATGACTTGTTTTCGAACACAGTACCATTATTTGATGTGGATAACATATATTTATCGCCCCATCGTGTTATGAAGCAAAATTATACACATTTTAAGAAGTCGAGAAAAATAAGGGTAACGAGGTGCAAGAACGAAAAATGCAAGCAACTTCT